GATAGAAACATCAATGATGAGAGTCACTGATCGGCTGCAGCCCGCAACCGGGCATGTGCCCTGACCGGGAATCGAACCCCGATCACCTGGATCCTAGGTCGATGCTCAACCGCTGAGCCACGCCCGGCTGGGCAGTAGCTCCTTTTAAACAAGTTGCTTTTATCTGATTCTATTGTAGACGAATTTACCCTCCTGAAGACAAAACGCTCCTTGAAAAGTATGAAAGTTTGTTGGCCGCTGCCTTTCAGACCTTTCTTTCAGGAAGAGCCGCTTCGTTCCAGCGAGAGCTGAATAATCCTTTGAAAAGAATGAAGGTAAAGGAATAAGTGTTTATAAAGAGAGAACAGAATTAAGGCAAGCGGGATGCCTTTGAGAGCACCCTGCTTCAGTCCCGCCTAGAGAAACATTTGACCCCAAGATGCACTTAACTTTCAACAGTTGGCAACATTTCATAAGCAATCAAGCGGTTTCAAAAATAAGATGTTGTCCAACAGGACAAATTATGCGGCAGGGAATGTTGATGTTACGTTGTAATGCCAAACTATTGTAATGAACATGTTTTATAACAGAGATCTGTATATGTAACGGAATTTTAAAAATCCATTGAATTAACCACATTTGCGATGCTTTCATTACTTCTGTTGCAACTCACATTATTCAGTATTTTTTCCTGATACTGTGTAGACGTGGCGCCTGAGAAGTAATGAAAACACACACACACACCCGCAAATGTCCCCCACCCCCCACGCAGTAATCTCTTTGGCTTACTGAAGGGTCTATCAGTTATCTACTGCAGCCTAATAAACCACCTCGTTTATTTGCTCATTAATCTGCACTCTTGGCTGGGCTCACTTGATCGGCTCTTTCTGCTTGTTCTGTTGGAGTGAATTAGGCCTGATTCATTCCATCGATCCGCAAGGTCAGCTGGGGCTGGAGATACTAGATGGCTTCATTTGTGTGCCTGCAGCCTCAGGTGAGATAGCTGCAGCAGCCCGGAGCTGGCTTGGTGTCTCTTTCTCTCTGTGTGGTCTCTCACCAGGGCAGCCAGGTCTCTCAATATGGTAACTTGAGGTTCCAAAGGGAGAATTTCAAGAGGACAAGCCCAGGGTGCAAGTCCTAATCCAGCCTCTGCTTGCATCATGCTTATTCATGTCCCCTTTGGCAAATAAGTTTAAGTGGACCCATTAGAACTGTTTGGACTTCATATTACTTGACATCTCTCTGTGGTGATATATCCCCAGGATCTTGGATATCTTGTTATATCGAGTGATTCAAAAATCATGATAAATATGGTACTTTCACTCAGATTCCACAACAGGAGGTTGTGGAAAAAGCCACTTTTAATAAATGCTTATCTCTTAGGTTTAACCAGCTTTAAAACTGGTTAAACCTAAGAGATGAGCAGAAGAAAGATTGTATACCTCAAATGTTCTTTTCCTCCAAATTTCCCTCTTTTGATGTATGCAAATGTTTTGCCATTAGAATTATGTTCTGTGGCCTTTTTTCCCCTCGACCCAGACAATGAGAGATCTTTCTTTATTTTCTTTCACCTGTTTCATAATGTTATTTCTCTCTTCTATGGATAAAGAATCTATTCGATCTTCTCATTACTTTGCTTCTCCACCCCTACTTTTTTCTAGTAGAAAACCTGGGGTTTTGGAGCCAGATAGACCTGTATTCAAATTCCAATCCCCCCATGTGTTCATTTTGGAACCTTAGGCTAAATTATTTGATCAGTTGTTTTCTTGTCACTAAAACAGTAGTAGTAAAACTACTACTTGTCCGACTGGTGGTGAAAATAAAATTGAGGTTAAATAAAATAGTCTATTAAAGTACTTGAAACATAATAAACAGGCTTCAAACTTTAATTCCTTTCTACTTGTATTCTTAAAAATCTAGTTTAAATGTCACTACTCTGCCCGTGTTCCACTGGCCCTTGAGCCTTTTCTTATACAAATTGAACTCTTCCTTCACTATTGTTGCTTTGTAGCAAGTGTTGAAATCAAGCAGTAAAAACCCTCAATTTGTTCTTCTTTTTCAAACTCTTTGGGCCTTTCTAGGTCCTTTAACATTTCCATATAAACTTTAGAATCATCTGAGAATCTTAAAAAAAAAAGGCTGCTGGGATTTAATTGAGACTGTGAGGAAGCTGTAAAACAATTTCTGAGGAATTCATATTGTTGAGTCTCTGATCCATTAATATTGCATAGCTCTCCATTTAGTTGAGTCTTTAATTACTCAGCTATGTTTGTGGTTATTTTCTGTATAGTTCTTGCACATCTTAAATTTATTACTATTGCTGCCAATAGATAGTTTTTAACTTTTTTTATTTTTTGGTTTGTTGCCAGGATGTAAATATCTGATTATTTTTGTATATTGCCCTTATAGCTAGCAACTTTTATATATTGCATTTTTATTAACTGCCATTTTGAATTATTTTCTGATTTTAATTTTGATTATTTAGACGTTTGTTGCTTAATTTCCATACATTATAACTTTGTAGTTTTATTTTTGCTAGGGGTTTCTGGTTTAGTTGATTCGTGTTAGAAAACATTCTGATTTCAGTTTTGTAAAAAGAATTGAGATTTGCTTTATGTCTCAATATAGTGCTTATTTTATCAAATGTACCAAGTCTACTTGGAAATAATGTGTATACTACAGGTGTTATTTGTGGAGTTTTATACATGTCATTTAAGTAAATTTGGCTATTAGTGTTAGTCAAGTATTCTATACCCTTTTATATTTTTTGGCCTACTTGATGTAGCAATTACTGAGAGAAATTTATGTATTTAGTTCTGTCAATTTTTATTTTATAGACTTTCAAGTTATGAAGGTGTCTTCCTAATGAGTTCACCTTTTCTATTTTTATCATTATGAAGTGTTTCTCTTTCTCTTGGGTAACATTCTTTGTCTTAACTTTTACTTTGCATGATTAATAGAGCCACATTAGTTTTTTTCTTATGGTTACGTTTGAATGACATATCTTTTCCATCCATCCATCCTTCCACTTACTTGCAACTTATCTGTGTTCGTATATTTATAATACCTCTGGTAAACAGCATATAGTTAGATCATATTTGTTTTAAAATCCAGTCTATGTGTCTTTAAATCATTTTACACAACTACTAGTATAGTTGGGTTTATGTCTGCCTTTTGCTCTTTTTTCTCTATTTATACCTTTTGTTTATTCCTTTTTTGCTTCCTTTCTTTATTCTTTTAGAAAAGTCAATTTTTAAATTGTTATCTAGACGATTGGCTTTTAGTTATATTTGTAGCATAATATGGGGTTTTAAAAAGAAATTGCAATATGCATCTTTATATCATAATAGTCTACCTTGACTTAGTATTTTTTCCACTTCACAGACCATGTAAGAACCCTAACCATTTAATTTTATTTGGTGCCTCTCTAGACTTCGTGCTGTTATCATTTGTTTTACTTTTATATATGTTACAGTCTTTAAAATACATTTATTATTGTTTTCTAAGCAATAGATGGTCTTTAATAGTTTTCTAAATAGTCTTTCATATTTACCCACATATTTATCCTTTCTTGGGTTCTTCACTTCATCCTGCAGATTCATGCTCTGACAGGGACATCTTTCCTACAGTTGGAAGAAACTTTCTTTAGTATTTTATATTCCTTTTAGCATAAATTCTGTTTTTTTTTTTTTCCTTTTTTCTATTTTTTTTAACTGAAACTGTCTTTTACTTTGCCTTCATTTTAAATAGTTTAGCTGGGTATAGAATTCTATCTTGGCAGGCTTTTTTTTCTTTCCACACTTTTAAAGATGTCATTTCTATTCAGAATTCAGTCATTACGTATTGTTTTTGTTTTCTCCTGAATGTAATATGTCTTTTGTCTTGACTGCTTTTTCTTTTATTTTTGGCATTTTGACTTTGACATGTCTGTGTGTGATTTTCTTTTTATTTACTCTGCTTGTGGTTTTCTCAACTTTCTTGAAGACATGAGTTAATGTCTTTCATTGGTTTTGGAATTATTTATTTACTTCATCAGATATTTCTCTGTATTTTGTAGATTGTTTCTTTTATGGGAGTCTAGTTGCACATATATTAGATCATTGAACAGCATCCCATATATCTTTGATGCCTTGTTCTGTTTCACCTTTTTTTTATTTCTTTCTCTGTGTTTCAGTTTAAATAATTTTCATTGACATATCTTTGCTTTGTCTAGTCTGCCATTGAGCCTATCCAATCACTTCTTAATTTCAGATTATATTCGTCAACTCAGTATCTGTTTTTTTAAAATTCTATTTCTCTGGTAAAATTTGCAGCATTCATCTGTTTTGTTTTCTTTTACANCATTCATCTGTTTTGTTTTCTGTAACATATATAATAATTATTTAAAAGTCCTTGTCTGTTAATTTTAATATTTGGGTTGTTTATGGACCTGCTTTTATTGATTTTTTTCCTATTGATTATAGGTCACATTTTTATTTTTGTTATTTTAAATGATCTAAAATTTTTATTTGTTTGACAGACATTGTTTATAAGAGAATCATAAAGATTGAACTGATATTATGTTCTCCAAAAAAAGGCATATCTTTCTTATTATAGGGTGCTAGGGTGAGGGGCTAATTACTTTTATCCAAAGAAAAATTAAAGAAAAACAAAAATCAAGTGGTACTATATCAAACTTAAAAGCTTTTGCATAGCAAAAGAAACAAAAAAATGAAAAGGCAACCTACAGAATAAGAGAATATTTTTTCAGACCATATTTAGAATAAGGAGTTAATAGCCAAATACATAAATAATTCATATAACTGAGTAACAAAAAAGACCCATCTGATTAAAAAATGGGCAGAGGAACTCAATAGACATTTTTCCAAAGAAGACGTCCACATGGCCAGCAGAGATATGGAAGATGCTCCATGTCAATAATCATCAAGGAAATGCAAATCAAAACAGCAATGATATATAATTTTACACCTTTTAGAATGGCTATAATAAAAAAGACAAGAGAAACCAGCATTGGCAAGGATATGGGAAAAAGAGAATACTTGCACACTGATAGTGAGAATGTAAATGTAAATTGGTTTAGCCACTGTGGAAAACAACCACCTAAGTGCCTGTCAATGGATGAATAAATTTAGATGATGTTGTATGTACATACAATAGAATATTATTCTGTGATGAGATGGAAGGAAATCCTCCCATTTGCGACAACATGGATGGACCTTGAGACATTATGCTATGTGAAAGAAGTTGGACAGAGAAAGATAAACACTGTATGATATCACTTATACGTGGAATTTTTAAAAAGCCAAGTAAAAACAATAAAATTGTGGTTACTACAGGCCGGATGGTAGGGTGGGAGAATAGAAGAGAGATGTTATTTAATAGTACAAGCTTGCAACTAATAATAAGTCCTAGAGATTTAAGGTACAGTATAGTGAATATAGACAAAGATATTTTGTTATAATCATTAAATGTGATACGAGACTTGATCTTAATTATCCCAACCACAAGAAAGAGATGATATGAGACTTCATAGAGGAGTTGCAACAGTGGCAGTATTACAATATACAGATTTATCAAATCAATATGTTGTACACCTTACATTTACACAATGTTATATGTGAAATATATTTCAATTAAAAAATAAAATTGAAGTAAGAAGGGTTGACTTGGGTCTAGGTTGAGTTGTAGTAGTTCTGGTTCACCTCTGGTTTCAGTGCCTTGAGGATGACATCTATTCGGTGTTTATCACAGGCCTCATTCTCTGTCGGTATCTAAGAACTGTAAGACTACAGATGAGTATTTCTGGTTTGCCATCCCTGACTCCATCTTCCTACATCACCTCATACTCAATCAAATTGCTATTGGCAGCAGGTGAAGAGAACAGCTCTGTGGGGCTCCTTTAGATGTTACACTAACCCACACGGCCATAGAAGACTCCATTGGATTCTTTATCCTAGCAGAATCTCTCTGCCTATTCTAGACATGATCTTTGTTCATCTGTGTCCAGACAGGATAAATGATCCCAATGTAGAAAGTAGTCACTCATTTCTGCCAACCTAGGAAGAACTTTTATCTCTCTGATATTTAGTTTCTTTATACTACTTTTTATCCACAGCTTTCCAATGGCTTTTAAATATGATTATTTAGTTTATCTGTCTTTTTATAGCTATGATGAAAGTATTGTCTATTATGACCTTCTTTCTCCCAAACAAAAGCAGAACTCCGTGCGTTTCTTTTTAACTATCTTGTGCCGTGGAATTCATTATAGGATTATTATTCAATCAAACTTTACAGCAAGGACATTTTGGCATTTTAATAGCTAAACTCTCTTTGATGGGCATGAAGGAGTAACTTATTTCACAAATTTCCATTGCACAGTGAGATTTTTAGTTTATTCTAATACCTTAAAAGACACTGAAATATAAATCACATATGTAAAGATGTGATATTTTAATAGGTTGAATAAATAGCTCACTAAAGCTGTTGATAATTCTTTCAGTATTGCTATTACACTCTCATTGCTCCGGTTTGCTCAACATTCATTTGGGTGTTATGTTTTTATAACTTTACCATTTGACTTCAAAATGATTCTAGAAGAGGGCAAGAGAAGGTATTAAGCCTATAGAATGAGAACATTTGATAAAGTTCTGAAGATACTGTTGTGCATAGTTGAAATTTTGAAAGTCTCATTAAATTGTGCCCATTAAACAAATATTAGCATTAGATTGGTAACCATTAGGCCAGGCATCAGTTTTCTGCCTGAAGTTGTAATATTGTTTTGCAATGATCAATATAGAAATGATTGATGAAATTGTGGCCTGGAAAATCAGAGTGACTTTTAGAAATTTTAAATTGTCCAATAGGCTAATTTATTGAATTATTTTGCTGTCAGATTTTAATAGTGTACTAAAACATAAAGATACATTTGTTTATGATAATACATAATAGATTTCAGCAATGTATTATTTATATTGTCAGATTTTAGTGAAAACATTTTTATAGAGTTTCTAATGACCTTTTGTTACTTATTTGATCTGAGCAATCTTCATCAAATAGTTTTAGGAATCCTTGTACAATATTTTATGGAGACTAATGAACTTAGAAAATTTCTGGAGTCCATTGGTGATCACAGTTTTTTAAATATCTTTTTAAGGAGGAAGATATTTTGGATCTTCTGGAACAATGTGAAATTGATGATGAAAAGCTGACGGGCAAGACTGCCAGGCCTCGAGGACCAAAGGTGCAGTACCTCTACCTTCCTTAGTATCAAAGTAGATGCTACTAAGTACAGTTGTTTTTCCCCACTGTATTTATCACTGTAGGGATGACTGATGCTATTTTCAAGGAACTGTATGGACAATGTGTGCAGTACAGTTAGAGATGGTTATCTCACATTTAGAAGGTCTGTTTTTTGTTATGTTAGTTTCCCTCACTTTTTGGAATCTTTTTGTAATGCTGGTGAAATCCTGATGAGTCAGGACCAAGAGCAATCTAGAACTTAGGCCCTTATTCTACACTCAGTATTAAGTTTTCCTCATTTCTCTAGACATGTAATTATCAGAGAAGTGTAGCGTTATAGATAAGGCAAATCATGACTACTGATCCTTATTGGGAGCCCCATGTTTTCCTGAGCCAGCAACAATGAAATCGTGTTAGGTAAAATAGGCAGAGTTTCTAGGATAAAGAGGAACTGTCATGCATTCAGAAATGAGCAGGTGTTTGCTTTACTTTCATCTGCTCTGTGATGATAACACCGATATGGTCTTTGGGTATATGTCAGAAGCTAATAGAGTAAGGAGGAGAAGCATTCGTAAACTCTTGGAAACTTTTTCATGTGCTTTTTTTACTTTATGATTCAGCAACACTAAGCTATCTCTCTGTCCTGACACACATCATGCTCTTGCTCTTTCATGCTCTTTCCATGCATCTGGAATCCCTGCCTATTTTTAAAAATCATTTGTTTATTGCTTGATTGATGAGAGACCCCCTCCTCACCCAGCTGAACCGTTGCCACCTTTGTGAATTCCTCTCACTCCCCTAGTTAGACGTAGCTCATCCTGCCCCTCCTGCTGCTGCTGTACAACAAATAACACTTTTACATAGCAGCTGTGATAAATAATTGCTTACATGTTTGCCTTAATATAAGCTTATAAGTTCCTTGAAGGTAGAAAGTATATTTTTACCTTTACATCTCTTGCACTTCAGCACAGCATCTGGAACTTAGCAGGTTCTCAGAAACTCTTAAACTTGTTGAGTGTGTCTGCAGGACCTCATTGGCTAGTGGAAGAGCAGATAGGTGAACCAAAAATCATGGTAGTTTGTGGCAAACAGTGTAATAAAGTGAGTGAAAAGTGCTACAACAGCAGAGAGAAGAAAGGCATTGGTAGACTGTGGGTGACTTCATAAGTGCCATTTGAACTGGGTCTTTAAAAATGAGTTGTGCTATAAACATGTAAGATGGGTGGAAGGACATTTGGGGCAGAGGGAACGTTAAAGGCAGTGACATGGAGTTTCGTCAGAGGGTGTTTGAGAAACACAAAGAATTTGGTAGGACTCCAGCAGAAGATTCTTGGAGAGTACAAAGCTGCATGATGAACCTGGTGATAGATGAGCATCTGGTGCAGACCAGAGATCTTGGAAGTCAGGCACTGTTCTTCTGAATCACATCCTTTGTACTGCGGAACTGTGGAGGATATGATTGCTGGTTCCTTTGGAACAAATACATTTTAGAGTATCTGTAGAAGTGAATGCCATGATGAGTCATTGCTTCACTTTGGAAAAAACTTAGAAGTTTCTGAGCTTTGTATATTAATTATTGCAATTCAGCCAACCAGATGTGAGGCATCCTGGGGCGCAATATTCATGGCAGGATGGCAACTGCTGAGGCCCTGAGACAGCCTCCTACTGTCTTATAGTTTCCTTTGCTTTGCCAAATAAGACTTATTATCAAAATAAAAATGTAACCTCCTGGAGGGCAGAATTCACATTGTGTATTCTTTAACTCTATATATCCCAGGCAAGTAATAGTATTACTTGCAATTAGTAATAGTATTGCTAATTTAGTAATTAGTAATTTAGTAATTAGTATTACAGTTAGTAATAGTATTACTAACAATGTATTCGTTAAAATGAATTGGTTAGCTCCTGTAGTTATTAATGCCAGCAATATTTCAAAGCTGCATAATCAGTCTGAAACAAAAGCATTTTTATAACTTTTAACTTTATGTACACTGAAGGTGTGGAGTGAGCCAAATTTCTCTTTTAGAGGGATGATAGCGCATTCCAAACACCGATTTTCAGTGTCTTTACTGGTAGAAGAGTTAAAGAATAATTGAAGACAATTAAGGTTAAATGAAACTTGTACAAAGAGAAATAATTTTTCACTTATTTGAGAATCTAAGAAATTTTAGCTACAAAAGTAATACCACAAAAATATTAGCATTGTTTTTTTCTTCTTCAGCTGAATGGTTGGTACATGAGTATCTGTTTTATCATTCTTTATACCATTTATATATTTTTTATTTATGACCCAGTTAAAACTAAAATTGAACATAAAAGTAAGTAGTGCGGTGTGTGTCACAACTCATTGCCAGTTTACAAATTCCATTTTGTAGCTAAGGCATTGTTTATAGTGTATGCTGCTGTGACTTCTTATTAATTATTGCTTGAACAGTATATTAGTCAAAAAGTCCCAAACGCATATATGACATAGCTATTAGTTTCCCCTTGTGATTCTTTAAAGGGTCAGATAGCTCCTTATGTAGTCAAGCTCCTTAAAAAACCTTAAATCTGTTTGCCTACGTGAAGGAAGGCACGACCAGCAAGCCTGGCTATGCCAGCGTCTCTTCTGGGTTGTGCTGGATTTCAGAGGAAACATCTTCCTCCAGAATTCTTATTCCCTAAGACTGTCAAGGTGTTTGATGATTGCGTTACTGGTAAATGTTTTTATGCATACCATGTTGAAACACTGGTCATGCTCGGTGAATATTAGATTATCGAAAGGAGAACATACTTTTAGACACAAGTTGGGGCCGTAGTGTATTAAACTACTTTCCTCCCTTGGTTAATTTTCATCCTTTGCAAAGCCAATAACTTTAAGAAGATCATGCTTTCGCTTCCTGTCTTCCAGGCACTTTGTGAAATGCTATTCCCCTCTTTACCGTTTAGCCCACACTGTTACAAAAGAGGACAAACCTCATTTCAGTGAAATCCTGTGGTGACCAAGGGTTTCCTTATAGTGTGTGCTAACAGCAAAACATTTTTGTCTGATCGAACAGAGAACAAGAAACTTGCGTACGACTGCGGGAACTTTCCCCAGCAGGAGTAAGAGGCATATGGTGTGTGCAATAAATAGTCTCTTAAAATGACTGAGTTCCCAAACTCTCTTGTGCTTGGTTGTGCACAGTCTGTTTGAAGTGGAGCCGTCCCACTTCCCTCGTCTTAGTCCTTCAGCTGGCGCTGGAAACACATTGATCGGGAGGGTTGGAGACAAGTGATACTAATGGAAATATTGAAATGTAATAGCCTGGCATTTTGAATGTGTACAGATTTACCCTTCTGCATGGCACGGATTCTCTAACAAATTCACGTTGTATTGATTTTACATTATATCATTTTTGTTTTTATAAATGTAGCATGGGCAGTGAAAAGCAGTGTTGTCCCATTATGGCCAAACCCTATGTGTCATCCTTAGGAACCTTCCGAGAAAGGGCATGAGTTGTTCATAACCAATTTGGCAAGTGGATAATTAACTAAAAATTGTTATTTATAAAAATGTTCACAGCGAATTAGACATGTGGGAATCACCTTGCTCCCTTTTGCACATTACTTGAGTGAATAGGCTCATACGCTTCAGCTTTAAGATGTAGCCTTTCTGTACTTACAGTGGTTTATCTTTGTTTGTTGTAGTTTATCTGGCAGCTGCTCTCTTATTCTTTCTGTCTCTCTGCCCCTCCTTCTCCCACGTGTGCACCCCCCCAAACACACACACACTTTTACTGAGTGACTCTGAACATGAGTGATACAACAGAGGCACATCCCTGAGTGTTGATGACCAGTGAGTAACCTGTCCGTACAGAATGAAGAACAGTTGATATGTTTTTGATTTTTATATTTTTATCTCAAATAATTTTCCTTTATTTTATTTTGTTTGTGATAGGTCATTTATTCGAATCATGTAGAAACAGCATTTTCTTCATTGTGACTGAACTGTATCATTTAAGAAAGAATATTTGGCAGAAAGAGAGAAATTCGTGAATTGCATTATAGGCTAATGGCAGCACGGTGGCAAGAGCGCTTTGGGGGATTTGCAGGTGTCGATGAAAAGCAACACGCTAAGGGGGAAACTGAAAATAGTCACTAAGGATGCTAATGAGCCTCCTTTTTGAATTCTGACAAAAGAGCACTTTTTTCTGTATTGTAGCCTCTGTGTTCCATGCCCGAGAGCACGGAGGCGATGAGGAGACAGAAATACTGCAGCAGCGACAGCAGCTACGAGAGCAGCAGCAGCGCCTCGGAGTCGGATGAGCACGGGAAAGACGACTACCAGAATAAGAAAAGAGAAAAGCAAGTTACTTATAATCTTAAACAGCCCAACCACTACAAACTAATTCAACCATCCAGTAAGTTAATTTCTTCTAATTTAGTTGCTATCTGAAGAATCATGGAATGGAAATGATGAAACTCAATAAAAGGATCTTGGGCCAAATGCACTCCTGTTGTGTGTGGGGAGACCTGGATGGACCCCGTGTCCTTCCCCAACCAGACGGCACATCCCGCAGCCTCTTCGGGGCCTGCAGGGAGAAGACGAAGGGTTGACCTGAGGACCTTTACAGTCCCTTCTCTATTTCCCCGTTTTTGTTTCGCCCCAGGCTTTCCCATTTATAAAATGTGACGCGTGGCCTGTCTGCGGATTGCCTTCCCTCTTAACCTCTCTGCCACCCATTTGTACTGTGTATCCTCTCCTGCTTTCTAAAAATGCATATCACTCTAGGAATTTGACTTGACTGTACCTGTGAGCCACGCGATTGTGAAATGGTTTTGTTTCCTCTCATTTTCATCCCGGGCGAGCACCGCTCAGGGCTTTCCTTCAGTTCAGGAGGGCGACCAGCCAGCTTCTCTGTCTCCTTCCTTTCCAGCTTCCTTTCCTCTTTCTTCTTTTATTTCTTTTCACATCTTCCCTTCCCTTCTTCTCTTTTATTCCTTCTTTGAGCCTTGATATCCACTGTTGTGTCCGTGGTTCTTCTTTCGTCCCCCGGGGTCCAGGGCGGCATCCCCGGTCGCCCCGGCCCCGCTAGATGCCCTTCCCGATGCAGCCAGTGGTGCGGGACTGACTCAGAACTGCCACCTCCCCTCGCCCGCTGGCCTTGCCCGGCACCCCCAGGACTCCACTGAAGGGGCCCGGCCGCGCTTTAATTCCCTGGCTTCCCTGACAATGGACTTGGCCTTCCACCCTGAGGGTGAGACGCGTGAGGAATGCAGAGCTGATCGATAAAATTTTCATGGCCTTTCATTTGCTTCCAAATTATTTCGTAGAGATACCTGCTAATGTTCCCAGTCTTTGAAGGTTTATGTTTTTGGAGGGGAAATAATGTTGTTTTATGTTCCATTCCACCTGTTTATGTATTTACTCAGTCAGGTGGAATGGAACATAACATTATTTTCTGTTCCAGAGTCTAGCTATTTTATAGATTTCTTCCCTTTTTCTCCGAGCCGTCTTACATACTTTCAGTGTGTCTCTGTGTAAGTAGGACTCTGTTCGTCTTTGGAAGCTGACCCTGTTCTGCCCAGATTTCACCCATTTTTTTACCCCTCTTGGCCCATGCGCATCCCTCACCGCAGGAACTAGCAGAGGGTAAGGGTAAGGTTAAGAAAAACTGCTCAGGTTCCTATAGTTCTGAGGTGGTTCTTTGTTCTTAGACCAATAGGTTAATAAATTGAGATTGGACAAAGAGTGCACTGAAATGTTTTTAAGTGTAAATTCTCATTTTAAAGCCAGTCTAACTCAATTACGTATCTCTTCCTAAATATTATATTTTATTGTTATAATCATTAGAAATCGCAGTAAGGGTTTCACCTTGTTTTATTTTATATTCTCTCTTTATTCACTCTCTTACACTAAGTGATGTCATAGCCACGGACCCACCTTGAGTTTTCTGCCCAGAGTGATCCTGATAACAGAGACAAAAATCTAGATTATGTGTAACACGTTTCGTTGTAGATGGTTCACTTAGGAAATTCAAACTTTTGTTATAGTTTCAAAGAATATATTTTGGGTGGATATAAGGTAGTCATATACAAAACTATATGAAATATTTTTTTCACATAATTTGTATGTGCAAGTTACAACCATTTTCTGTTAACTGACCTAAATATTGTCGGCATGTCTAGCTACTTATTCTGTCTGAATTTCCAGTGTATGCAGGAAAAAAATGGGACTCTGGCCATTCAAGAGGAAGGGTATTTTCCTTGTACACCTTTGATCAGATTATACATGTCCAAACTGTCACCTTAAGCCTTACGGGAGAGCAGGACCCAAGTTGTAGCACAGTGCTTTGGGTGTTTGCTTAGTAGAAGATTGACCAGTGGTGTGTTCCACCCACAGCCTTTCTCTAGAAGCATTGTCCTTTCAAAAATGGTGTGACTTTCAAGTTTAGTTGGAAGTTACTAGTTTGAACAAATGGAAGTGTGTTTTTTTTTTAACATCTTTTATAGCTCTAGTGAGTATACTTTTAGTACTCTTTAGCACCAAATGAGGAGTAATGGGCTTATTATCTGTTCAAAATATCCTTTAGAAATAGGTCCATAAATATAAAGTTTATATATCCACTGCCTTTAAAAAGGTTTACATTTTTTTCAACAGCTAATGAAGAGAAATATTTGGCTAGTCAACCTGTCTTTATGTGAGTTTTGTTAAATTATTTAACCAGTGAAGATTGATGTATTCCCAAAGCAAAGAGAGACTATAGCACAGAAGGTGTATAAAATATATGAACTAAAACAAAGATATAAATGTTGATAATATTGAATGATATTCTATTTTCCTGTGTCAGGAATCAAACATACCTGGAATAGTTGGTTCTCTCTTTTAAATTTCTTCAGTATACGTTGGGGAAGATATCTACAGTTTTCCCTACTTGTTTGCTCTGATAGCAACCCAGGTACTTTCTCTTCACTTAAAAACCTTTTGCTATGGGAATTTAAATCTAGTTTTTTTATTCTTCTCTCCTATGGATAAGAAGATTTTCTAGTATCACTCTTGTAATAAATATATATTTAAACTCCATTAGGATAATCTTTATGTTTTTCTTCTGTGTTTTATTTCTTTCTCAAGGGCTTGAAATTCTATAACTCATCTGTTTATCCTGGCCATTCCATATACTCCTGTCCACCCCTTCCTATGAATCTTGCTGTAAAATATTCTGTTTATAACCTATATACAGATTCCAATGATTGACCATTCTGATCCAAGGAGAGTGGATAGTATTTTCATGGTCTCATAGAAAGAGGGAGACACTGGCATTAGACAGGTTAAGATTTAAGCCTGAACTTGGCACACTCTCTTGTCGTGTGACCTCGATAAAGTTCTTTCCTGAGGCTCCAGGTGATGGAGGTTCCTACTTCAGAGGGTTTCTGTGAGGGTTAAGAAAAAAGCATTTGTAGCACCCAGTAGGATGCTTGGCTTATAGAAGGTGCTCCCTATATGTTAGCCTTCCTTTCTTCTGTTCTTCAACCTCATGCTTCAAGATCAGAAAATTAAAAAGTGTCATTTAAATATTACTCTAATGATAGGCATCCTTCATACACGACAGGGGTTCTGCACCAATTTCACCATTTAAATTGAAGAATTAACTCCAAACTTGTGTTCTCATGATGATACCTTGACATTTATCGCCACGCTGCTCCCCTGTGGTCTAATTATTAGTCTATAAAGACTGAATACGATGGGAAACTTCTATTAACTCTTCCTCTTTTCCATCATTGGTAGGCTCCATAAGGCGTTCATTCAGTTGCCCTCGGTCCATCTCTTCTCAGTCACCTTCTAGTGTGGACATCCGCCCCCTTTCTGCTCAGCATCTGATGTCAGCGTCCCGGCGAGCTTCAGTGTCTCGGTCGCATTCCCTAAACCGGGCTTCCACCTACGCAAGGCACCTGCCTCCTGGTAACGATGCCGGCTCTGCTAACTCTCAGATGGTAAGTCATCGCCTTTGCTGCTTTTGAGATTCCGGGAAGCACTGCATTGACCATCTAGGAAGCACAGGGACCAGCTGGGAGGACAGACGGAACCACAGACCTTTTCTTTCATTCCGCTCCTGGTCTCCTGGAGTTTGGATTGTTCCGTCTGTCTCAGCCTGGAACCTAGTGCGAACCCTTAGAAGGCAGACCAGTATATCACAGAACTCTGGGATGGACGCCGGGAATAACATTTTATTTTCCATTTGCTTATGGAGTAGGATAATTTTGTTGAAAATCATCTGAGCAAATACATGATTTTGCAGTGTATTGTGCAGTATATTTGTAAATTTGGGGAAATTTGTTGTGTGAAGATTCTTTTAAATGGGACTATTGATTGATAGGTTAAAAAATAAGCCATTGATAAATTATCCTTAGAGTACTGAAATACGATGTTGTTTATGTTTTCTGTATATTAAATTAACATATAGTGTTCCCTCCTTAGCATGAATCCCAGAGATTCAGTATCGAAGAAGTCAGTGAGTTTATTTTGCTATCAGACTTGTGGATGCTCTAGTAGATAGCTCCAAGTACCTTCACAAAGACTAGGCGTTTATTTAATTTGTTTATTTAATGTGGATGATGTTTCCAAATCAAAGAGTCTGGAAAATATAAGTGAATGAATTTTACTTGTTAACAATGAATGATTTTTTTTTTCTTCTAATCAAGAATTCACTAAGGTATATGTAGCAAGCAAAACTTTTGACCAGAAAGTCTTTTGTAACCATTCATATTTTTATTTTAGTACTTTGAGCTAACTAAAACACAACTGTGTGGAAGTGTAAAAGACACTCTTGGGGAATCATATCCATTTAATGCTAAGAATTTAATTCTAAGGATAAATGTAAAAAAATTATATTTTCTTTCTTTTTCTTTTTCAATTAAAAGTGCATCATTTTTACCTAGAAATATCTTTCAGATTATAGTGGCACAATGAAATAAGACCCCCTCCAAATATCTGTATTCTTTCAAATTTAAGAGTGAGTCTTTGCAGCAATCGAGAACAAGAGAAGACGATGAAGATCTAACAAGTCAGACCTTGTTTGTTCTCAAGGACATGAAGATCCGGTTTCCAGGAAAATCAGATGCAGAATCACTACTTATGGTAGAAGATGTGAGTACTTGATGTGTATAAAATTCCAAGAAGCTCATTCCTTTTATTCTTCTTAGAATATTAAAATTTATTTCCCCATGCAGCATTCTCAATGACTAGTAAACTTAAATGATATTCTTTTCAACCTCCACAAGCTGTAGAAAATAAGCAGCTATTTTAATTATGATTCACAAACAGTGAGATCATATTTATAATTAGCAATGCAAAATATCTTTTAGTACATTGTCCCATTTTAATGATACAGCTGCTTCTCAAGTGAAAATGATTTATGTTATTATTCAATTATTGTTCTTAATGATTAAATAAATATCAAGTTAAAGCTGCTTCTGTAAAGATTTAGAAAGATCTAATATGGAATGAGATGTAATAAAAAAAAAGTGGAGTCCTGGGCATAAAATATCAAGAATGCTTGAATGTGACACCTGAATGGTTTTGGTCACATTTTGAAATGGCTTATGCTGTGTGTTTTTCTTGTTACATTTGCACCACCCAGTGGAACATTCTAAAATGGCAGAGTCCTAAAATTCACATTAAAGTTCATCACTTTTCCTAGTTAGAAAGAAGGTCCAAGTTATTTAAATATTTTTGGTGTAAGAACACTTCTTAATTTAAAATTCTATCTCTTTGTTCAAATATCCTTTTCAAATTGTTCCTTAGATAATTCCTCAGTAATAGAACTTTGTTTTCTGGTTTCTCTAATATTATTTTTTTCCAGAGGAGAAGGCACCATCTAGTGGCCAATTGTAGGATTAAAACCACAGCTGTGCACTTGCTTTTTTAAAACTTTTTAGCATTACTTTTATTTAAAGCAACTGTCTAGAAACAAACACCAAACAAATGATAAAAAATGACTTTCTTAGTTTTAAAAAAAATCAATAATGGCAATTTCTATTTTGTAATCATGACATAGTTGTAACCAAAGCCCCCAAATATTTTCCATTGTGTTGTTATATATTTTTTAAAAAGTAAAAATAGCATCTTGTTTGCAAATGAGTTGTGATTTGTGACATTAAGGGGAGAAGAAGATGAATGAACATTAGTTGTAAATCATCTTGCTAGATACTTTTATTTACCTATGTTATCTTATTTAATCAACTTCTTTTCCTAAATATAGCCAATGACTGTACTAGACATTTTACTTATATTTCTTATATTGAAGTATATTAAGATACAACCTTTTTGAATCATGTAGAAGAAAAATCTAATAATCAAAGTAGAACTAATATTTCTGGCTAATGTGATTGTTCTATAAAAATACAGGAGCTTATATAAATAATGAAAAATAATAGTTGTATCAGTCATTAGATTATTTACTATATGTTCACTGTATGCAGCAAATATTTTAATCTGTTTGCTACAGTATATATTACTAGACTATATATTCAGAAATTCTGCAGAATTGACAAAAACTAAAACAAAGGGAGAATAGAATCTTGATTATATATAAACTATCTTCTAATGCATTATTCAATATTGTTATTATGGGTGATATGATAAATACAGGTTTTGGAATTAAAATGAAAAATATACATCTTGGCTTTCTTTCTAAACCTTATGTGCCTGAAGACATTTGACTTTCATTCATTGGGGATTGTGTGCTTTTTGCAGCAAGAAGCAAAAAATTTGGATTCAGGTGACCTCTTAACCTTATGTTAGAAATCTTTGCACTTGTCTTTTTATTAAAGTAGAGGTTCTTTATTGCAAGTAATATACTGCTTTCATTTCATAAATTCATTACTAAAATTGGTTTCAACCCACTTATTTACTTTTTACTTGTTATATTTGAGGGAAATTCTAGGTTAAATTTCTTAATGTTTCTTGCCCATGACAGATCATTGATAACTGGAAGTATCATAAAACAAAAGTGGCTTCATATTGGCTGATAAAATTGGACTCTGCAAAACAACGAAAAGTGAGTAATGCCCCAAAACAAGTTTGTGCTTTTAGATTATGTCTTAAGCGAGGATCATTAAGCCACATTCATAGACAAACTATATACACATTTGTTTGTTTACTCATTTCTTCAACAAATATTCATTGCATACTGCTATGTTTCAGGCACTGTTCTAGGTTCTGAGGATAAAAAAGTGAATTGAAAAATCCCATGGTCTCATAGAGCTTACAAAAACTTGAATGGAGCAGGTTCCAGGGTGAAAAGTAGAGAGGAAGAAAACACAGCTAGTACTGGCATTCTTTTCAAGGCATTTTGTTGTAGAGGAGAAAGGGATGTGAATTAATGACAGGTTTTATTTTATTTTATAAAGATAAAGAGATTTAGCCCTGGCCAGTGTTGCTCAGTGGGTTAGTGTGTCATCCATACACTGAAAGGTCTCTGATTCGATTCCTGGTGAGGGTACATACTTAGGTTTTGGGTTTGATCCCCAGTTGGGACTCATGCAGGAGGCAACTGATCAATGTTTCTCTCTCACATTGATCTCTCTCTCTTTCCCTCTTCCCCTCTCTCTAAAAAATTCAGTAAGCATGTCCTTGGGTGAGGATTATAAAAAATAATTATAAGATGAAGAGATTTACAGTTTGTGTGCTGGTGAGAATGATGTAGAAGAGAGGAAAGAGAGGGGATAGAAAGTCCCTGAGTAAGTAAGCTGGGAAGGTCTGTCCTAACCAGGAGCATTTATTCTAATCGGAGGGAAGGCAGAGGCCGTGGCACTGTGGTGGGTGGTGGGAAGATGTGGTTTTCTTATGGAGAGTGGGAGAGGGGAGTGGCCAGCAGCCTGAGGGGCTGTCAGATGCTCTGCAACATTATTTTGGGGGAGAGATGCTATTTTAGTAGCTTTAATGGAGTTCTTGTGTTCCTTCAGTAATGCAAGCTATTATATCCCCTTTCTAGGATTTATTGCTAATAAGCTGAAAGTTGACACTAATTAAGTGATTACTTTCAACTTACACACTTTCATCTGAATAAACTGAACTCACTATTACATTAACACATTCAACAAATAATTACTTGGTGTTCTACCATGTGCCAAATACTGAGGAGGGTATAGCAAAGCTAGTAATAGAGGTAGATTGCAAGACACACTGTAAACCCTGAATACATTTTTGCCAGATCCCTATGGCCTTGATTGATTAAAATAAAGACCTTTTATTAGAATTAGTATCCTGAGTTTCCTCAAGTCCATGTACTTTTTGTACTATAGAAGTTAGAATACTGTAGGTAAGTTGCTAATTAAAACAAAACACTCCAGAAACAGATTAAAGTATTTATAAGATATTAATACATGATAAATGTGACATTTCAAATCAGTAGAGAAAAGGTAATTTTTCCCTTAAATGATACTGAAACAATTGAACACCTATTTGTAAGAAAAAAAGTTGGAGCTTTATCTCTTACCATGTACAAAAATAAATTTCAGATAGACTAAAATTTTGTGTGTAAAAAAAATATTAAAAGTTTTAAAGAAAACATAGAAGGCTATGTTTATAATCTTAGAATGAGAAACAACTTCTTAAGAAAGACCTAAAATTCAGAAGTCTTAAAAAAAAAAAGATTGACAGATTTGATTGCATAAAAACTTAACAATGGCAAAATGTGCCTTAAACCAAGCTGAAAGGCAGAAGCCATGGGGAGGACGGGGGTATTTGCAGCACATAAAACACTAGCACCTGTAAATCAGCACCTGCTATGAATCAATCAGCAAAAGGCAAACTATCCTATAAATACTAATAAATAAAATGGCAAGTGTATAAAAAGGCTATGAAAAGACAGTTTATGGGTCTTCAAATAGCCAATTAATGTATAAATAGGTCCTCGGCCTCACTAATGATGAAGGAAAAGCAAGTAAAAACCATCACGATGGCAAAAATTAATATCCAGTCATGGAAGTAGTAAAGATAAAAAGGCCTTTGCTATGCAATTAGAGGGAGAACACATTGGTACAACTCTTTAGAAAGGTAATTTGCAGTATCTATTAAAATTACGTGTTCGTAACCTTATGACTCAGCAAAACCACTTGCAGAATTCTATCCTACAGAATAATAATTGAATGTATAAAAGACTGTACATGGGCATTCATTGCAGTGTATTTGTGAAAGCATAATATTTGAAGCAGCTTAAAAGTCTATTAATAGATTTAGATTAAAAACACGTAGTACACTCACACTATTCAGTTGCATTAAATAGAAAACTATTCTGGAATCATACATCGTAACCTGAGATATAGCACAAGATTATGACTCATGACATATGAAACAAACATACATTAGTAAAATTAACCAAATTAACTAATTATGAATGAAGGATACAAGCAATAATGTGATTGTTGCCAAGTGCATGGTTTTGGTGAGTCTGTGTCCATCAGCTCTCAGGTGTCCATTTTCACATACCTGGAAGTTTTCTGAGTTCAGAGTGACAAGTGCCAACTATGTGTGGTTTCCATTGGCAAATAAGAAGCCTTCCAGACTTGAATGACCTTCATTTTTATTCTCCACTAGTCACCCATATAGCCCTTGTGACTAACTTCCATTCTCTAGGAGATGAAATTAAAATACCAGGTTTATTTACCATGAGTGTTGTCCCCTGGTACTTTCTGCAAAGATGGAAATGTTCTGTATCCGTCACGCCCAATACAGTAATCTCTAGCCACATGTGACCACTGAGTAAGCTCTTGAAATGTGGTGATTGTAATTGAGGAACTGAAGTTTTAATTCTAATTAACTTAGATTTAAATAGCCAAATGTGTCTAGTATCTACTGCATTTGACTGTAGATTTAGACAGACCAGGGGTAGCCTTGTGAATATATTCTTAAGTCATTTCTCAGATATCTTCCTGCTGAGAAATTCCATCAGAGGATTTGCAAGAATATCCAGGAAGGTCCACATTGCCTTGGGCATCTCGAAGGGGGAGTGCCTCTCTCAGCTTCCCCCTTCCTTGTGCCATCCTAAGAAGATATCAATATATGTCCTGGCCAGTGTTGCTCAATGGTTAGCATGTCAGCCAGTGCAAGAGGCAACCAATCGATGTCTCTCTCTCATGTTGATGTTTCTCTCTTTCTCTCTCTCTTCCCCTCTCTCCCTCCCTTCCACTCTCTAAAAATCAATGGAAAGAATATCCTAAGGTGGGGATTAACAACAACAAAATATATCAAGATAGTAAATTAAACAAACACGTTATGCAATATGTATTGTCCCATTTTAAACCTATGTGCATATGATATTTAAAAAATATATATCTAGTATTAAAAAATTTGAGAAACTAGGTACCATAATGTTAAGGTGATTTATTTCTGGAGGGTTAACTTACTGAGTGAGGGGAAGGAAAGTAGTGATATTTGGTGCCAGTTTTCCCATTGCTTTTGTATATTTCTATATATTTTTAAAAAGGTTATTTCAAGCTAAAATAATCTTCTTAAAAATGTAATACTGACAGAGACACAAGTGTTTTCATGAAGCTTGTTATTTCCTCCTCACTTTTACCAAATATTATCTGTCCCTGCTCTCAGTCTTCATTGTACTTGGTTGTACTTATGATCTGCCTTGAGAGGTTTCTGTATTAATTTTTTTCTACTATAGGAGGCTTTCTGTAAGCATTTCATTTAATTCTAGACACTTTCTTGAACCCTGTCAATAGCAAGCCAGCTTCTGTCTGTACTCTTCCTTTACTAGTGATATGTGTTTACTTGAACAGCAGCAATAAATTAAGACAGTGCAGTTCTGTTTTTTAACATGTAATATGAGAAGGCCTGCTAAATTGATGTGTGTGAATAGTAGTAATATTTGTGAATTGCAAGAAATGATTTCATGTTTAGGGTTGTCATGCTCAATTGGATTTATAAATTTCGAGTAAAGATAAATGCTTGCTTATAAATTACTAACAAGGACTTATGCCAGTATTTCTACTTCTCCTGTTCATATTTACTCTAAGAACACTTGGAGTGAGTTGTCTTTGTGTAATCCTTTCTTCTAGTTCTCAGATGTGCAACCACATCTCTGTATGTATCGTACACTGTTATGTTAAGGGGGTGGGGGCACTAATGTGAATGCCCATGATTTTTATTACAACTTATGTACCTAGTTACCCTCTCTTTGAGCCCCTTTGCTTCTTCTGTTTTGGCATAAGTCAAAGGTACTATATTTCCTTTTTGCACTTAAAAAGTGATAAGATATCCCATCTCCAATACAAGGCTTGTTCAAGTCTTATAGGTGGCACTTATCCAAAGAGCTACAGTTATTCTTCTACATCGGTAATTAATTAAAAGACAAAAATATTTTGGGCAAAAGAATTTATAGCTTGAATTTTGACTCTCAGAGAAAGTAAGGGCTGATCATAACTAGAGCAAGTTTATCTTGCAGAATTGCCTACTTTCATGGAGGCCCTGAAAGGTGACTGAGGGGTGCTAGGCCTGGGCTGTGGGGAGAAGGGGAAACTCCGTAAGTACACATGTGCAACTTATTTGTAGTAATTTTTCTTGCTATGGCCATGATCCCTGTGTTTCCCTTTTCTTTCCTCAAATACTTTGTTCTTTTTCTTTAAGAGGCTTTTTCCCAAACAGACTCTAATTCCTCAGATAAATAGCAAAGGGCGGGACGCTCCTAGGAAAAGAAGTGGAGGGCAGCTTTCAGCAGTGTTGGTTCTGTGATGACATGAGTAGTAATTTGAATAATAAGGCAACGAGTGTTTGTAAAACTTTTCAGTTTGGTGAAGTTAACCTCTTTGAATTTATGGCTTCCTTTCATGCATATTCACAAAAAGAAGCATAACAAATGTACATACTATGAATGCAGATCATCAAGCCAGCCAGCAATGGAGGTATTGAGCTTTACATAAACAAAGATTTTTTTTAACCCTCTCCGAGAAAATGTTTTTTTTGTTTTCCTAAAATTCATTTGAGAGAGAAACATCGATGTGAGAGAAACATCGATTGGTTGCCACCTGTATGTGCCCTGACTGGGGA